TCCCCATCCCTGCACAGTTCAGGCATTAACTATGGCCCACAGGCTAATCATTCAGATTTTTTGTTTTTGTTTTTAATTTTGCTCATGAACTAAGAGTGGTTTTCTTCCTTGTTAAACTTGTAGTTTGGTTTAATGTATCCAAGAAGTTCTGCAGACAAGAATGAAGCTTCCTGGGGTCAGGGGCTTCAGATGCCTGAGGAGGGGCAGCTCCCTCTTGGAGTAGACGAGTGGCCCCTGCTCTCGGCAGGACGGTCACAAGGACCAGTTGCCAGAAGTTGCAGCTTTTCTGATTCCAGACTAAATTAAACCAGTAAACAGAAAATGAAACCACAACCAGCACCAACCCTGCCTCCCCAGCCAGGATTGTAGTGAAAATCAGAAAGGAAGGCAACTTTACCAAGTTTGTGGCTTGGCCAATGTGAAGGGCAGGGGTCCCTGAAAAATTGAGTAGCAGTCCAGCCCAGGGCCAGGCTTGGGGAGGATCTTGTGGGAGTCAGTTGATATACCACCACCTGGATCCTAGCACCTGCCTCTGCTGGCATGGTAGGCTGCATGTTAATCAGGCTCTCCTCTCCATGGTCATCCATCACTCCAGCCTCATTACCAAGGTCAACCTTGGGGAGACAAAGGCCTCGTCACCTTTCCCACTGTCCTGTGGCAATGGCCGTGACAGGTGCCCAGCAGAGATTATTCTTGCTGCTGTTGAAGCCATCCATATTAGGAATGGATGGGTAGCCATCTTGATAGTCCTTCTCAGGCCGTACTACACAGGTGCTGCTTGCCTGTATGGAAGGAAGAAACCTCAGCTCTCTCACCTGGCTGGCCTCGGGCACCGCAGTCATTGTCACATAATGTTGAGTTCTGCTGTGGGAAGTTATTTGCCACTTGAAGAGACTTTGGTAACAACTTGTAGAAACATAGTGACGCAATCTCATTCGCTCACTGTGAACTCAGTCACTGTCTGCTTTTTTCTGTTGATGTTGATGTTGTTTTTCTTTTTCTTTTTTTGATTTATTTATCTTTATTGGAAAGTCAGATATACAGAGAGGAGGAGAGACAAAGAGGAAGATCTTCAGTCTGCTGATTCATTCCTCAGGCAGCCGCAGCAGCCGGAACTGAGCCTGTCCAAAACCAGGGTCCCGAACCTCTTCCGGGTCTTCCACACCGGTGCAGGGTCCCAAGATTTTGGCCATCTCTGACTGCCCTCCCATTATCAGAAAGTTGGTCTGAGTTCCAGCCATTCTACTTCTGATCCAATTTCCTGCTGATGCATCCTGGGTGGCAGTGGGTGGTGGCTCAAGTGCTTGAGCTCCTGCCACTCACATGGGACCCCAGGATGGAGCTCCTGGCTCTGGCCTGACCCATACCTAGCTGTTCTAGCCATTTGGGGATTAGAAGGAAGCTAATCTCTTCTAGTAGATGAACGTTAACAAGAGGCAAAGTAGGGCCCGGAGTGATGGCGCAGTGGTTAAGGTCCTCGCCTTGCATGCCTTCCCATCCAACTTCCTGCCTGTGGCCCGGGAAAGCAGTCGAGGACGGCCCAAAGCTTTGGGATCCTGCACCCACGTGGGAGACCCAGAAGAGGCTCCTGGCTTTGGATCAGCATAGCATCGGCCGTTGCGCTCACTTGGGGAGTGAATCATCGGACAGAAGATCTTCCTGTCTGTCTCTCCTCTCTGTATATCCGCCTTTCCAATAAAAATAAAATAAATGTTTAAAAAAAAAGAGGAAAAGTAGATAAAAATGAATAAAGGCACACAAACGTGCAGTGGCAAAGTAGTTGGGACCAATAGCATGTGGCCCACAGTGGCTGAAATACTGCCTGATTGACCATTTGTGGAATTGTCTCTCCTCCTCTCAGTTCTCTCTGCAGCTGCGTGTCTTAGGCTTTGCTCTCTGTGCCTGGTGTGTTCCTCAGCAGGTCGGCCGGTCCTTCTTCCAGAACCTTCTCCCCTTTGGGTAGGCTCAAGGACTAGTTAGTTAGGAAGGCAGTCCAGGCTTTATAGCACTCCTCTGGCTGCTCACTTCCCTGCTCTACCCCAGGTGGGCTGCCTTTTATTCACCCCAATCCCGACTCCTGCCTCCGGTGGTCCATTGAAGTTAGTCTTGCTTAATCACCAGTGAATTCCTGGCTGCCCATTTCTGTCCCTTTCCCATCGGTCTCCTTTCCTATTCTCTGATATTCACCATGTTCAGCATGCTTATTTCCTTGAGAAGCTTCTTCTCTAGACTTCAGAACAGCTTTTGCTTCTCTTCCTACCTCCCAGCCAGTTCTCCTGCTCACCCAGCAGGGGCTTGGCTTCTTCTCCCTGGGTGTTAAATGCTGATAACTTGGGTAGGGTGTGGGGAGTCTACTTGTCTTGGTATAACAGCTGTTATTTTATTGGATACCTGCTGTGTCCCAGTCATTATGCTAAAATAATTCACATAAATTATTCTTAATACTTGGACCAACTCTAAAAACATTTTGTTTCCTTCTTGCTATAAATGAGGAAAGTGAGACTTAGTGAGTTTAACTTAATACAGTGTAACTTAGTTAAGCTGCGGCCTGAGCCCAGCCTGCTTTAGTGCACATGTAAGGTCAGCTGTTATCTGTGTGCTGCAGGCTTTCCTGTTAGCCTGCAGCCTGTATGTCCAGCTCTCTACTAGACACATCCACCTGGAAGCCCTGGCAGCACTTCATTCTCAGCTCATCTTCTCTCTCGCACCCCCATCCAGCCCTACACTCGGGGCCTGACCAAATGCCTTGTTGCCCTGGCAGTGATCTCGGGGGTTGAGCTAGGCTCTGCCTCACACCCTGCTGGCACTGCAGACTGCCATTTCTCCCTTGTCGTGTCTCTGGAATTCATCTCTTAGGTGTCCTGTCCTTGTCCCATTGGGCTCTTATCTCTCTTTCTTGGACTGTTGTCCCTCTTCACTTACTGTCTGCCCTTTCCCCGTCTTACTCTTACAGTCCATCCTTTACAAGCTACTAGAGTAATCTCTCCTAAATCCCATATCTGATGCTTTTAGTGTCTTGGTTAAAACTTCTCAGTGACTCTCCATTATCTTAGTTCTTTACATCTGAATTCAGGAGGTCCTGCCTTTTTTTTTTTTTTTTTAAAGATTTATTTATTTGGAAAGGCAGATACACAAAGAGGCGAAAAGATAGAGAGCAAGATCTCCTGTCCAATGGTTCACTCCCCAAACTGCTGCAACAGCTGGAACTGAGCTGATCCAAAGCCAGGAGCCAGGAGCTTCCTCCAGGTCTCCCATGAGGCTGCAGGGTCCAAGGCATTGGGCCATCCTTGACTGCTTTCCCAGGCCACAAGCAGGGAGCTGGATGGGAAGTGGAGCTGCCAGGATTAGAACCGTTGCCCATTATCATGTTGGGCTCAGGAGGTCCTGCTTTATTTTTTATTTCTCTCTCTCTTGTTCAAGTCTATCTCACATATTGCAGGTGTTTGTAGTTCACTGGGCCAGCACTCATTCATCTCTCGGGTACTTCCCATGCTGTTCCCTTTTTCTGCAATAGCTGTCATTTGCAGCATTATCTCTCATCCCTCAAAATAAACAAGACAGGGGTCCGGTGCAACTAAAGTCCTCACTTTGTCTAATCCCAGCAGCCCCACTTCCCATCCAGCTAGCTCCCTGCTTGTGACCTGGGAAAGCAGTCGAGGACAACCCAAAGCCTTGGGACCCTGCAGCCTCATGGGAGACCTGAAAGAAGTTCCTGGCTTCTGGCTTCAGATTAGCTCAGCTCCAGCCATTGCAGCCACTTGGAGAGTGAGTCAACGGATGAAGATCTTTCTGTGTGTCTCTCTTCCTCTCTGTATGTCTGCCTTTCCAATAAAAATAAATCTTTAAAAACATAAATAAACAGATAAGCCAGTCATTCTCAATTCAGAGAGATGAGATGCAAATCTTTTTCATTGTCTCTCCTTCTCTGTAAATTTGCCTTTCCAATAAATATAATTTGTTTTACTTTTAAATAAATTATTATTTTTTTTTTAAAAAAAAGGCACTGACAGGCCCAGTGTGATGGCCTGGCTGCTTAAGTCCTCGCCTTGAACTCACTAGGATCCCATATGGATTCAGGGTCTAATCCTGGCAGCCCCGCTTCACATCCATTTCCCTGGTTGTGGCCTTGGGAAAACAGTGGAGGACGACCCAAAGCCTTGGGACCCTGTATGCATGTTGGAGACCTAGAAGAAGCTCCTGGCTCCTGGCTTTGGATCAGCTCAGCTCCAGCTGTTGTGGCCACTTGGGGAGTGAATCAGCAGAGGGAAGATCTTCTTTTCTGACTCTCCTCCTTTATGTATCTGACTTTGCAATAAAAATAAATTTTTTAAAAAGACACCTAAGTGAACTTGGTTGGCTAACACATCTTGGAAATATTTTCTTTTCCTTTTTTAAAAACATATTCGTTTTTATTGGAACGGCAGATCAGATTTACAGAGAGAAGGAGAGATGAGAGAAAGATCTTTGATCTGCTGGTACACTCTCCAATTGGCCACAGCAGCCGGAACTGAGCTGACTAGAAGCGAGGAACCAGGAGTTTCTTTCAAGTGTCCTACGTGGATACTGGGTCCCAAGACTTTGAACCTGCTTTCCCAGGCAACAAGCAGGGAGTTGGTTTGGAGGTAGAGCAGCCATGACACGAACTGGCACTCAGATGGGATTCTGGCATGTGCAAGGCAAGGATTTAGCCCCTAGGCCAGCAGGACAGGCCCTATATTTTTTAAATGTTTGTTTATTTGAAAGGCAGATTTAGAGGGAGACAGAGATGATCGGTTACCTTCATTGGAATATACACAGGATTATTTCCCCTGTTCTTCGTTATCTGTTGTCCAGGTGCATTTGGTCATCAGGAAGATTTCCCCACTGCGTTTAAGATGGCTTTCTAGGTTTATGTTGACAGCCCATTTGCATCATTCGTCACTGCTGTGGGCTGAGCTCAGAGAGGGTTAAGCTACAGATAGTTCTTCAACCTTGTTGACAAGGTGTCCTCTGTCTGCCAGGTGAAGCGGTACCAGTGCACCTTTGAGGGCTGTCCCCGCACCTACAGCACAGCAGGCAACCTGCGCACCCACCAGAAGACTCACCGAGGAGAGTACACGTTTGTCTGCAATCAGGAGGGCTGTGGCAAGGCCTTCCTCACCTCTTACAGCCTCAGGATCCACGTGCGAGTGCACACGAAGGAGAAGCCATTTGAGTGCGACGTGCAGGGCTGCGAGAAGGCGTTCAACACACTGTACAGGTCAGCCTCCTGCCCTCTGTTCCCCCTGGCTTGTAACTGCAGAGCCTTGTGCACTTTCAGGACTGCAAAACTAAGCTCATTTGTTGAAGTCATTTGGGCACTTGTCACTCAGAGATGGCCGGGTTTTAGTTGGGATGAAGATGATAATGCACCGGAGTTTAGATGTGCATCCCTGAGAAGACCGTTCTGGCCTGCGGATGGTTACAGCCAGCATGGAGTGCTATCTTCCCTGAGCTCACAGCCATTAAAGGCTTCTGTGATTTTTCTCTCTACCTTACTCTGAAGATAGCTGCTTTCTACCCTGAAAAACGGGGAGTGGCCCACTTGCTAGCCTTTTCTTATTTTTCACTGTTGCTTTGGCATACTTAGATCAAGCTTCAATACTGGGTATAAAACAACAGACATATAGGCTTGGATTGGTTTGGAGAGCACTCACTCATCATGTGTTGTGTATGATTGAGTGCCGAAGCCCAGAGTCGCCCTCCCTGGCTTAGGTCCTCCTTCCAGGGGGTGGGGACCAGGATGCCAGTCCCAGACTGTCTCCCGAGTCGTGTCCATACCACTGTGCTTTGTACTGTTGAATTTCTCTTTGGGTGAAAGAGGTGCAGGAGTCTTGTGGGCTCGATCGTGAAGCACTCACGGCTGACCAAGGGGAGGCTTTGGAGGGCACTGTGACGAAGGGAATTTTTCTGGGTGTCTTGCAGGCTGAAAGCACATCAGAGGCTTCACACAGGGAAAACGTTTAACTGTGAATCTGAAGGCTGCAGCAAGTACTTCACCACACTCAGTGATCTGAGGAAGCACATCCGAACGCATACAGGAGAAAAGCCATTTCGGTAGGTCTGGCTGCTTTCTGTCTGCTGGCCAGGTTTCAGCTGGGAGTCTTGACATGCTGCAGAGACTTTTCAAAGGAAGAAGACAGCTCTGTTGACTAGCCCTGTCTTTGGTAATGTTAGCTCATCCAGGATGGCTTTACCCACTGCCAAGGGGTGCAGATCCCATGAACACCTGTACTCAAGGGTGATGGCCTTTCTGCTCAGTTTTTCTCCCTATGTTTTAAGCATTCATTGAAATTCAGATGGGTGATAGGTCCTTTTGTTAGTGCTAGAGAGATCTGAAGACGTCAACTGTCCTTTTACAAGTCTTTGTCTGAAAGAACTCCAAGTTCATGAATGTGTTTGAGGCTGCAAGATGCTCCTGGTGTGTTACAGCACAGGGGAAAAACCCAGACCTAAAAATAAAAGCCAGGTTGGGAACAAGAGGAAGATGACTGGTAAGAATGCTTACGTTAGTGATACGTGTACAGGATTTTGTAATTTATGGATTTGTTGCTTTGTGATATGTGTATGTAATATGTATATATACATTGTTATGTATGTCAAGATGTTTACGTGTGTGCTTAATAATAAGCTGTGTAAACTTGAGGGAAGGACTGTGTTACCTGCTTGTGTTCTGGTCAAAACATGTTGAGGCAGCTAGACACTCAATAGGTATTCAGAAATAGTTTGGGGAAGATATATGAAACTGAATTTCGGCAGAATATAAGGCAGAAATCTTTGTGCCATTCAGTATGCTACCTGGCCATTTTCATCATTTATCTCTTTTAGGACATTTAGAAGCAATTTAGATGTGTTCTGGGACAGTCATCTCTTAGACACCACTTAAATGGAATTGTGTATTTAAATTACAGATGCATTACTCAGTCAGGATCCCTTTAAAGGCAGGAAGAGCAGTTAGATTCTGGTTGCCTGCAGGTGCTGTGAAGGTTAGGTTATTTTTCCTCTGTAGGCTGTTGGGAGGACCCTGATTTCTGTCTAGTCACTTGCATTTATTTTTCTGATGATAAGCTTACTAATTTTTCATGAGTGTTAGGTAAGACTTTATACACAGTGATGACTATATATAATTAAAAATAAAAATGCTTTAGTAATGCTTTCTTTTGAAAGAAATTTATTTTAGTTCATAAGAAGTAACTTTTGTATGTGGTTATTGAATGCACGCCTTGTGGAAACAGCACAGCAAATGTGACTCACCCCATGGACTCTGTCCTCTAAGAGTCCACAGTCAGAGAGGAAAGATAGCAAATGGATCTGCAGAGAGATAAAGTAAAATTCCAATGAGGGATGCTGTAAAGGAAAATGGAGATAAATGCTGTGGACAGAAGAATCACCTGTAGCTTTGGTTATCAGGAAAACAAGAGAAAGGTGTGGCCCTGAAGATTCTAGAAAGTCATTACAGCCTGTCTGTTCTGACTGATTTTAATCTAATGTTACATTTGAACCCTATGCATCCCTATGGGGCCCTTGTATACTCCTTACATTCCCAGTGTTCCAGCTCTTGCGCTCTGTGGGCATCTGTTACGTAGTCCATCCGGAAGTTTTTGGTGATGGAGCCCTCCAGCTGAGCTTTGCCTCTCACTGGTGAGGCAGGAAGTGCTAGTCCTGGGCTTTCAGCACCCTCTGCTCTCACAGAGGTCACACTGCTTTCTCAGGAAGCTTTCCGTCTTTCTCTTTTCTAACACCAGACATTGATCTGATCTTGTGTCCTTTACACACATGCACACACTGATTGATTGATTGATTGATTTGAAAGGCAAGGCTGCAGAGAGGAAGAGGGAACCATCTGCAGATTAGCTCCCCTAAAGACCAAGGTGGTCAGGGTTGGGTCAGGCTGCAAGCAGAAGGCTGGGACTCCATCCAGGTCTCTCATGTGGGAGGCTGGGGCCCAAGTTGGGCCAGTGTCCACTGCCTTCATAGGGAGATGGATCATAGGTGGAGTAACTAGGACTCGAACTGGTGGTCGTAACCCACTGCACCAGCTCCAGTGTCCTACATGTTTGTTTTAATTTGCAATTACAGTGTTAAGGATTAAAGTCTATTGGCTAGTAACACCTGTTTCACTTTTAAATAACTTCTTTAGGTGCGATCATGATGGCTGTGGAAAAGCATTTGCAGCAAGCCACCACCTTAAAACTCATGTGCGCACACATACCGGTGAGTGTTGGCTCCTTTTTTACCCTACAGTAAAAACACATCGTGGCTGTGGCTGTGTGGAGAGAGTGAGCTTTATCGGCTCAGGCGTCACCTGTAATGTTTGAGTTTTCTTTCAGAGGTGAAAAGAAATCTGAAGGTTGGATTCAGGAACCCAGTTTGTGGGAATGAAACCAATAGAGAATTTTACAAGAAGAACCTATGGAGAAATTAGTCTTTCTAAATTTCCCTAGAGCAAGCCGATCTCTGCACTTTGCTCCACATTAGCCTTTAGGACTAAAATGATTCGTGTGCCACTTACTCACCTTTTAACATCTGTTACTCAAATAACAGCATGTATTTAATAAGAGCCTTTATTTCCCATTGTTAGGGAAAGATGGATTTGTTAACCCAGTACAATGACTTTATGGTAAAATGAACACTCTTTGTCATTCTTGCAGGTGAAAGACCCTTCTTCTGCCCCAGTAATGGCTGTGAGAAAACCTTCAGCACCCAGTACAGTCTCAAAAGTCACATGAAAGGTCACGACAGCAAAGGACACTCATGCAGCACCCTTCCGCAGCACAACGGATCGGAGGTGCGCAGGATTCTGGTCTCTTGTTTTGATCTGTGTAAAGCAGTAAAAAGTTGAAATGTCTTCTCTGTATGTTGGTTGGCGAGAAGGAAGAAATCAGGGTCAAGATTGTTGTCTCAGTGTTGGGGTGGGCGGGAGCTGGCTCTTTCCCCAGGCTCTTTTCCCCCAGGTGGAACCTTCTGAATCAGGGGTCTTAGCGTAGCTTTCACAGGGTCAGCCAGAATCTAAGATAGTGCAGCTTTCTCTCTAGCTGTCCCTGAGTTGGAGTAGAATTTGGCATTGTTTTCCAGAGCCAGTGACCCACCCTTGGCGAGATCCCGGAGGTGTGGAGGGCTCCTGTGCACACCAGGAAGTTTGAGAGTCAGCAGCTTGGGCCTTGGAGCTGCATGAGAGGCCGGGGGGGGGGGTGTCAGGCAGCAGTGTTCGTTCCTCCCCCAGTGTCTCTCCCACGTTGCCCACCTGATAAAGCACCATTCCAGAGAGATATTGGGATAAACTTACTTTTCATATGATGCCTTTCAAACTCGGAAGATGAGTACTATTATTATATTACTATTTTGTAGATTAGGAAGGTCTGGCAGCTCTGTGAGAATTAGAATTTGACCACTTTTTCTCATTGCTTCATTCAACTCATTATTATAGCATTTTTCTTTAAAATATTTTTTTTAAAGATTTATTTATTTTTATTACAAAGTTAGATATACGAAAGGAGGAGAGATAGAGAGCAAGACTTTTCATCCAATGATTCACTCCCCAAGTGAGCACAACAGCTGGTGCTGCACTGATCCGAAGCCAGGAGCCAGGAACTTCCTTCTCCAGGTCTCCCACATGGGTGCAGGGTCCCAAGGCTTTGGGCTGTCATTGACTGCTTTCCCAGGCCACAAGCGGGGAGCTGGATGGAAAGAGGAGCTGCCGGAATTAGAACCAGCACCTACATGGGCTCCCGGTACATTCAGGCAAGGACTTTAGCTGCTAGGCCACGGTGCTAGGCCCTTTTTAAAAGATTCTTGCAGTCTACTGCTAAGTAGACTTCTTAACACCTTGTCCTCCCTTCATACCTGCCACTGCACCGTGCTGTCCCGTGTTCTCTGGATCTCTAGTCCTTCTGGTGAAGGGAGTCTCTGGTCGTTGTAAGTAAGGTATGCTGCTTGACCTGTCGTGGCCCTGTGCCCCTGCATTGGTGCCTCCAGCCTGGGTCTCTCCCCAAACTCTAGACTGGCATATTCACCATTCCCCTTCTGAATGATCTGTCCTTAAAAGTACATAAAATAATTTTAGAGTATTTAAGATAATTCTCTGATTTCTTGTTTTTAAACAATAAAGAGCCATTTTAATAGGAATTTGCCTGCCTTGGGTTTTATTAGTAATAGCTGCTATTTATGTGCCTGGCAATGTGCTGACTGCTTTCACATGGTTCTCTCAGAAGAACTCTTGAGCTCAGTACTGCTATTCCCATTACTGATAAAGATAATTGAGGCAAATAGAAATCAAGTAATTTGCCTAGGTGTCTAAAGAATTTGCAGATAGTGTAATTCAGGTAGAATCCAGTTCTTTGACCTGTCCTAAAAGACAGACCAGCCTGTGGGCTACAGCTGCCTGAGTTCAAATCTGAGTTCCCCCACAAATTGTTTGACATTAAGGAAGGGACTTCTTTGTGTCTCAGTTTAAATACAGCAGAATTTGAGAGAATTGGCCTGCTAAGTTGCGTTCAGGAAGCTGTTGTCCATTTTCCCATTTTTATGGCACTCTGAGGATAATTTAGTTGCCGACAGCCTCTAAGCATTGGAGTGCTCAGGTCTCACTCCCCATCTTCTCTAGAACTGTTTTGCAGTAGATGGGAATGTCTTTTGAGTCCCAGGCTTCACGCAGCAGCCTGTTGCCTTGGTCCTATGTTGACACATGCAGCCTAGCTCTTTCTGAACTCTACTGTTGCACATGCAGCCACCCACTCTGCCTCGCCGTCCAGTACCATCTGCACCTCTCAGCCTTAACAGGCCTCTCTTCTGCAGGCTCCCCAGCTTTTTTTTTAATTGTATACATTTTAGTTTTGATAATTTTTACATATTTGATTAAGGTTCAAAGGTCAAGGGCTAGAAGAAAGTGGACTAGACCATTATTTCCACATTCTCTTTTTTCCCTTCCTGTATCTGGGGGGAGGGGAGAGATAGGGAAGAAGCCACACCCAGCCTCCCAACCATCCCAGGGTCTGCAATGTGAGGCATGCGCCAAGGGTCCTGCTCAGGTGGTTTTGATAGTTCAGCAGTTCTGTGTTGCTGCCAATCTTGCCACTCCAATCATGATGAAATCTCTCCAGACCCCAATGGCTGACATAGTCCACCTAAGAGACTCGATTTGCCCAGACAGGCTCCCCATCTTCGTGAGGAGCCTGCCTGTTGCTCCTGTGGCAGAATCATCTATTGCAGAGGCAGGGAGCCATTGTTCTGCCAAGGGCCTTTGGACATTTATAATATCATTCAAAGACCATACAAAATTATCAATTTAAAACGATCCCACCTGCAGTTGTTTTAGCCGGGGTAAACTAAATGATTTCACAGACCTTACATGGTCCATGGGCCAGACATAAATATTTGCTTCTGTCTCTTAGAAGATAAGCTCTATAGAGGTAGGGATGCTGTTGTATATATTATTGTGTGCTCAGTGAATATGTGAGTTGCCCCTTACTGGAGGGTAAAGTTCCAGAACACCTGATGGAGTCCTGAAATTTCATGTGGTACTGAACCCCGTATTTACTATGCTTTTTCCAATTCATATGTACATATCTGTGATAAAGTTTACTTCTTAAATTAGCCACAGTAAAGAGATTGGTAATCCTAACTAATAAAACAGGCAGTAATAGCAGTATTCTGTAATGAAGTTGCCAGCACCACCACTCTTGTGCTTTAGGGCCATTGTTAGGTTAAGTAATGCTTAAACAGAAGCATCGCACTGCCACGATAGTGGATCTGATATGACCGATGGCTACTAAGTGACTGATGTTTGGGCAGCACACACAGAAGAGAGGTGCAGTGCAAGGAGGGATGTCTTAGGACTGGGCACATGAAGCTGACGGGAACAGAATTTTATTAAACCACTCTGAATGGTATGCAACAGAAAGCATAGAAAATTTGAAAATTTGTTTCTGCAGCTTTCCATTTAATATATATTTTTAATTTTATTTATTTGAAAGATATATGTATATACACTTACACAGAGGCTTGGGATCAGGGAGCACGCATGCAAGAGAAAGATTAATAGGTCTTCATTCACTAGTTCTCTCCACAAGTGGTCACAGTGGCTAGATTGAAGCTGAGAGCCAGGAGCTTCTTCTAGGTCTGCCGCATAGATGCAGAGGTGCAAGGACTTGGGCCGTCTTCCCACTGCCTTCCCAGGTGCATTAGTAGGGACCTGGATTCTCAGTGGAACAGCTGGGACTGAAGCCAGTGCCACAGTGCTGGCTCCCATTTAACATTTTTAAACCATCATTAACTATCAGTAAGTAAAATCACTGAAAGTGAAACCATGGGTAATGGGGACTGCTGCCTGTGTTGGATGCTTTGGGAGAGGGAGTGTGATCCATGTGACGCAGCAGAGTCACTGTCTGAAGTGTATGATTGTGGCTGGGCTGGGAGCAGACAGCAGCACAGGAAACATCTTAACCCATTGTACTGCAGCGCCAGCCCTAATGCAGTGGTTTTAATGTGAAGAATGTTGACCTCAGTCAACCCAAAGCATATTTTGAGGTGCTTCACTGCCACTGAAGTAGCATCAGTCTTTCCATGTTTGAAATGGGGATATAGAATAATATTTTAAGGTACATATGAATAAAATATGAATTATGTGAAATCATCTGGCCAACATGTTACTGATTATATGAATATTAATTTCACATCATTACAATTTTTTTTTATTCTTGGGCCTGAGTCAGTGGATGATTTGAAAAATGTTTATTAACCATCTTTGAGGAATGTAAGAAGTTCTTCTAATATGAGCATTTAAAAGAGTGAGATGATGGGCCCGGCGGCGTGGCCTAGCGGCTAAAAGTCCTCGCCTTGAACGTGCCGGGATCCCATATGGACACCGGTTCTGGTCCCGGCAGCTCCACTTCCCATCCAGCTCCCTGCTTGTGGCCTGGGAAAGCAGTCGAGGACGGCCCAAAGCTTTGGGACCCTGCACCTGCCTGTGGGATAACCCGGAAGAAGTTCCTGGATCCTGGTTTGGATCGGCACAGCACTGGCCCACTGCACTCACTTGAGGAGTGAATCAATGGACGGAAGATCTTCCTCTCTATCTCTCCTCCTCTCTGTATATCTGCCTTTCCAATAAATAAATAAATCTTTTAAAAAAAAAGTGAGATGATATGTATAAGCTTGGGCGAGTTCATCCATTCAGGGGACATCTTGGCATTCAAAACCTTAAGGGGCTTGTAGGCAGGTGTTTTATTACACGATAGTGCTGCTGCAAATCCTGATCTTTATTACTTAAGTAGAATTTTCTTCTCTCTTACAGGATACAAATCACTCCCTCCATCTGAATGCCTTGAGCCTTCTGTCCACAGAAGATAAAGTTTTGGGAGAAAATTGCAATAGAGTAAGTGTATCTGAGCTATGGATGCTGGAGAATAGATTTAACAATTGAGAACATTGCTGAAAGAAAAGCTGGGAAGGCCAGTCTTCTAGATTGTGTTGTATTGAAACCCTAACTGTTGAAGAATTTCTTTTCCTTCCTCTGATAGGAATTCTGTTAGGAGAGTTTGTTCTCTCTAATGCTAAACGTCTCTTGATTCACATTTCTCTCTTGATAACCTCCTGACCCCAGACACTTGGTTTTTCGTTCATTTAACAAACATGTACTGAGTGGCTACCTCATCAGTACCGTCTCAGTGCTGGACTTAATTGTGGTAATGGGTGTGGCTTGCCTTTGAGGAGCTTAAAATCTAGAATTGTAAGATATAGGCAGCAATCTGGTTTCTACACTTACTTGGACCCTGAGGTTGGCCCAGACTTAGTGTCTGTCCTTTTTAAACCCGAAGTATTAAGTGTTGGAAGGTAAGGACCTATGCAGACCTCTGTAAGTAACAAACACATTTCTGTCTTCTTTTTTTTTTTTAATTGGAAAGACAGATTTACAGAGAGAAAGAGGCAGAGAGAAAGATCTTCCACTTGCTGGCTTACTCCCCAAGTGACCAGAATGGCCGGAGCTGAGCCAATCTGAAACCAGGAGCCAGGAACATCTTCTGGGTCTCCCATATGGCTGCAGGGTCTCAGAGAGGAATAGACAGAAAGATCGTCCATCTGCTGGTTCACTCCCCAAGTGACTGCAACAGCCAGAGCTGAGCCAGTCCAAAGCCAGGAGCTTCTTCTGGGTCTCCCACGTGGGTGCATGGTCCCAAGGCTTTGAGCCGTCCTCTACTGCTTTCCTAGACTATCAGCAGGGAGCTGAAAGGGAGGAGCAGCCAGGTCATGAACCGGTGCCCATATGGGATCATGATGTGTGCAAGGCGAGGATTTAGCTGCTGAACCGTTGTGCCGGGCCCGACATTCTGTCTTACCTGCTTTGTTCCTATTGGTCGTCCATTTTCCTGCCATTCTTGTTGGTCTGTGGTGTTACTTACAAACCTTGTGTTAATCCTGAGCTTTTAGGTTCCTTTGAAACTGAGTGTTTTCCCATGTTACCAATACTAGTTCTGAGTCTGGACTTTTTTGCCTCCCTACCACCCCCACTTTTGACAAATAAGTACAGCATAGGCTGGATTTTCTGTCACGGTACCAATAATTGTAATAGAAGTATGGAAGTACCTCCAGAAATTTGTGGAAAATTAAAGATGTTTGTTCTTGCAGTCTCTTCCTCATATAATTTTTCCATGAATCTAATTTTTGTTTTACAGATTTATTTATTTATTTGAGAGGAATAGTTCTAGAGAGAGATTTTCTATCTGATAGTTCCCTGCCAAAATGACCAGGAACCAGGAACTGTATCAAATCTTGCAATCCCACGTGGGTGTAAGGGGCCCAGTCGTTTAGGCTGCCTTGTGCTGCCTTGCTAGGCACTTGGCAGGGAGGAAGATCAAAAGCCAAACTGCCAGGACTCAAACCAGTGCTCCTATGGGCTGCTGGCATTGGAGATTACTGCTTAATGTGCCGTATCAGCTCTGCTCTTTCTGCAGATCTTTGGAGGCTCTGCGTTGTTGGAGAGAGCCTGAATGAATCACCAGTGCTGAGATTCATTGAGTCAATTGCAGTACTTTAAAGGAAGGTTCTTGAGCCTTCCTGGTTGGTGTCTAAAAATGCACTTAAGGGCCTGGTGCGGTGGCCTGACAGCTAAAGTCCTCGCCTTGAACACGCCAGGATCCCATATGCCACCGGTTCTGGTCCTGGTGGCTCCAGTTCTTTTCCTGCTCCCTGCTTGTGGCCTGGGAAAGCAGTTGAGGACAGCCCTAAGCCTTGGGACCCTGCACCTGCGTGGGAGACCTGGAGAAGGTTCCTGGCTCCTCGCTTTGAATCAGTGCAGCACTGGCCGTTGTGCTCACTTGGGGAGTGAATCATTGGATGGAAGATCTTCCTTTCTTTGTCTCTCCTCCTCTCTGTATATCTGCCTTTGCAATAAAATAAATAAATCTTAAAAAAGAAAATAAAAAATAAAAATGCACTTAAAAACTTACTGGTTCAAAATGCATAGAGACAGATCTTTTTTACACTAGTTTACTTGCCAAATGCCTGGGGCTGGGCCAGGCCAAAGCCGGTAGCCTGCAGCTCAATCCATGCTTCCCACAGAAGTGGCAGGGACTCAAGAACTCAACTCACCACTTCTAACTCCCAGAGTGTGCAGTGACGAGAAGCGGGATTAAAAGTGGAGCAAGGACTCAAACTAGAAATACTGAACAAAATATGAAGCATAAATATGGTCCCACAGCAAGCAAAGGTAACCTGGATGGGTAAGGTATTGTAGTGAGATGGCGTGGGCAATCCCGCATTGAGTTGCTGGTTCAACTGCCAGAGCTAAGCCAATCCAGTCAGGAGCCTGGAGCCTCTTCAGGTCTCACACGTGGTTTTAGAGTCTTAAGGGCTTGAGCCATCCTCCAATACTTTCCCAGTCCACAAGCAGGGAGCTGGAGAGAAAATGGACAGCCGGAACACGAACTGGTACCCATTTGGGATCTTGAAGGTTGCAAAGTGAGGATTTAGCCATTCAATCATTGCACTGGGCCAAGTGAATCTTCTGTTCCACTGCTGATCAGTTTCCTGCTGATGCTCTTGGGAAAGAAACAAAAGGTGGCTGTCAAGTTATTTGGCCCCTGCAACCTGTGGGAAACCTGGGTGAAGCTCTTGGCTTCAGTCTGATCTAGCCCTGGCCATTGTGGCCGTTTAGGAAGATGGAAGGTTTCTTTCTCTCTTTCTCCCTCTTTGCCTCCTTATTTTTCAGTAACTGTGCATTAAACATTGAAAAGGAAGCCTGGAAGAAGGAGCTGCTTGGGAGGTAGTAAAGGGCACTGGTTGGGCTTGCTGCCTTAATGGCTTCTCTGCCTCAGGCAGAGCTCAGTTGTCACTAAAGCCTTCCTGAGTTGAGTAATCAGAGGGAGGGTGGAGTTCAGGGTGATCATTGTACCTGGATAGTTAAGGAGAATAGTCTGAAAAGAAGTAAGTCAGAGCGAGGAGCCCAGGCTCTGTGTGCAAACCGCCCACAGCTCTGCACCTGCGGGTGTGTGGGACTGACTGTGCTTTTCAGTTAAGAAGCACAGATTCCAGGGGTAAGAGAATGTTCAGATAAACAAATCAACACTTGCCCAAGCAGTGTAACAGAATCTGGAGTCTCTACAGTATGTTGTTTGCAATGTCCACAGCAATCCAAACATGTGAAAAGGCAAGAAAGCATTGCCCTACTTAAGAGCAAAGGTGGGCCTGGCGCCATGGCTTAGAGGCCAAAGTCCTCGCCTTGAACACGCTGGGATCCCATATGGACACCAGTTCTGGTTCCGGCAGATCTACTTCCCATCCAGCTCCCTGCTTGTGGCCTGGGAAAGCAGTCGAGGACAACCCAAAGCCTTGGGACCCTGCACCTGCATGGGAGACCTGGAGGAGGTTCCTGGCTCCTGGCTTCAGCTCGGCACAGCACCAGCCATTGCAGTCACTTGGGGAGTGAATCATCGGATGGAAGATCTTCCTCTCTATCTCTCCTCTTCTCTGTATATCTGACTTGTAATAAAAATAAATAAGTCTTTAAAAAAGAGAGAGAAAATGTGATATAATCTAACCATAGTGAACGTAGATGTAAGGCTCAAGGACGTAAACAAATATGCTTGCAACGATTGAACACATAGGAAATTCCAGGAGAGAGACGAAGGCTTGTTCTAGAACCACAAACTACATAGGAAATTCTAGAACTAAACATTATATATGAAGTAAAAATTCACTGGAATATTCACAGAGCAGAAATGACAGATGCAAGAATCAATTACATTGAAAGTAGATTGGTAGAAATGAATCTATCTGAAAAACAGAGGAAAGTTTATGGACAAGTGTTTGGCTTAGCAGCTAAGGCAGTAAGTGTTTGAGGTTTCCCGATTCCAGCTTCCTGCTAACAGAGACCCTGGGAGGCGGCAGGTGGTGCTACTAGTGCCTGAGTCCCTGCGTTGTGCCTGGGAGACTCAGATCGAGTTCCAGGTTCCTGATATTGACCGAGCCCAACTCCAGTCTTGTTGGCATTTGGGAAGTGAACCAGTGGATGGTATATCTTCTCTCTCTTCCTGTTTGTATGTCTTTCTTTTCCCCTGTCTTTTAGAGAGAAATAGAAAAATACTAGTTTTTAAAGACATTTAATTTGTTTTTTATGACGTATTCAAATTTCAGAACCAGTGTCCTCAATGAAGTTACCCTGGGTGAATGTCTAAACTACCCAACTTAAGATTTATTGGTGTAATGCTTTTTGATATTTAACTTAATATGTGGCTTAGAAATCCACTCTTTGGCCAGGAGCTTTCTGGAGCTGTGGAGTTGCCAGAGGAGGTGGCCTGGCATAAGGGAACATTGAGCACATATAAAAAAGGAAGCCTTCTCTACCATGGTTTACATCATCAAACAGGGTGCTGTAGCCCTTGGAGTGTCATCATGTCTGGTCCCTTGGTACCCAGCAAGGATACCAGATTTTGCAGGAGTTTAAGTTTTTTGAACTAAGGTCATACTTCCTTAAAACATTACTGCTTTTATTGAATTGTTTGATTTAATTATTTGAAAGAGAACTTCTATCTGCTGAGTCGCTCCTGCGGATGCTGCAATACCCAAGCTTGGGCCAAAACCAGTCTGAGATATCAGTCCAGGTCTCCCTGACGGGTGGAGAAATGCGGTTACGTGAGCCATCAGAAGTTCTCTCCCATAGTTTGCATTAGCAAGAAGCTGGCTTAGTTGTGGGACCTGGACTCTGTGCTTGGGGGTCTCATGCCAGATGCTGTGTTTAAAGTGGCAACTTAACTGCTGTGCCAGCTGCTCACCCCTGCCCAGGGATGTGTTTCTTTCTTTCCCAAGGATTTAAAACTTACATTTGAGGGCCCGGCATGATGGCACAGTGGTTAAGGTCCTCGCCTTGCATGCCCTAGGATCCCA